CTTTCTAAACAGTGTTGATTGTTTGTCGTTGATGAAAGCATAAAGAGCAAAGATGCCATAGCTGAACCTTGCAGTTTGGACAGAAGTTTTGATCGCTCAGCGTTGAAACTTAGAAGGCGCATGGTCCTACGACATTTCAGTTTCTTGGCGGAGTTCAACATCAGTCCTCTTTGCTTTCCGTATCGAAGGCGCAACTAAAGCCTATTCGAACAAACCCGGTCATCTGACCACTTTGGCAGTCTGATTCGATGCACGATGTCAGTGCGATTACTTGGTAAATGCAACTCGTTCAGAGAGGGGATACAGGTATGTTCGTCTGGTATTGCTGCCTCTCTAGCGAAAGGGTTGGGACATGCCAAAACTACTCGTGTCACTAGTTTGTATGCCTTACTGAGAGTGCAATTTGCCTGTGCTCTTCAAAACGACATCCAGCTTCGCTATCATCTTCCAGATGCTCGGTATCAATCAGATGGCTGTGCGATGAATTAAAGTGTAAAGCACAGCCGCCCCTGTTTGACCGTTAGGTTGTCAGCGGAAAGTGTTTTAAACTCTGAAAATTTTGTCTGTTCCAGCCGTTTTGCCACCCCTTTAGGTTCAGCGAGGCCGGAATCAATTTCATCAGTTTCGTCCCTCACGTATATATGAGAGCGTAGATACGAGAGCGAGAGTTTTGGTCAGTTTTGGGCGAGTTTCTTGCATTGTCTGTTTCTCAGTCTGAGTTTTGGAGTTATGCAAGAGCTTAATGGCGACAGCCTTGGCACTAACTTTCAGATTCCGATGTCCTTGAGGATCCACCGTAACTTAAACATATGGTGCTTCATCCATCTTAAATGCGTGAAACTGCGGTTTTCAGCGGATTCCTGCCATCGCTGTCGTCTGCCAATGTCTTGAAAAGCTGGGATGATAAGCAGATTTCAGCAAATATTTTGCGGCTTAAGCTAATGAATACACCAGGCACTGATCAACCAAGTAATTCTGTTCTGTTAGCATACAGTTCTTTGTGGGCACTCATCGTTTTTTCAGAAAAGAGACAGTTGAACAATGTGTGACCCAAGATAGCTTTCAGATGCAATAATAGTTTTTGTCATATTAAGCTCTGTGCCTTAGATCGGTCTCTAAGTCAATAAACTTCGCCTTATAAATCAGCCATTTTCAAGGCCGATATGCTTCATCTTTAAAGATGTGTTTGTAACTTTAGGGACCCTACTTGCCTTAGTGAATGTGATATCGATGATCAGACCAGAGAGATTTTGATTACGGACATACGGAAGCGTTTAACGCCTCAAGCGGTGAAAATAAGGGCCGGTATTTAACCTGCCAGTTTTTCTACAGTATCACTAATTTTGAATGCGTTTTAGATATCGAAGTCAGCTGCTTTACGTACGAAGGAATTGATGCTGTAAAAACTGCGCTTATTGAAGGGCTGAAATGCTCTTCGGAAGAGGAGGGAAAAAGCTCTATCAAGGTAGATGGCCAATATCTTTTACATGCTGTTTTGAGTACCCTAGCTAATTATTAATTAATCTATAAGGAGCCTCACACTCCATTACTCTTTTTTGCGTCAATTTCTGATTATTACCTTATCGCGCATTTTTACGGAGAAAGTGCAGTGCGCATTAAAGCAAACGATGTGCTCCAGGCGGAGACGGCATGATCGAGGGCATTCCAAGAGAAAGAAAGCACATTATCGTGTTTGTATTCCTTCTGTTTGAGGGAAATGAAAATTTCAGACGACTGAACTATCACATCAGTAATTCTACTATATAGAAAAAAAGTAAAGAAGAACTGATGAACTACGCCAGTCATCTGTAAGATCTTCGCAAAGATATTGTCGAACAGGCTTCAAGAAAACCCTGATAAGTAACGAATAATTTAGACAAGCAACGAATATCAGCTTCCTTTTTATCTGAAATTCTCACTCGATTTGGCCTCTGCCCGATCTGTACAGAATCCCTGGAGGAACTGGAAAATTGATTATGAATAGAAAGGCCTCATAGCCAAGATTTACAACGACAAAACGGTTGTATTCGCCTTCAGAAAGTACCGATTCAGTAGTGTAAACGGCATCTGATATATGATGAAATATGATCTTAGCTGTTTGCAGCGGTCCTAGAAGAGGTTTACAAGGCACTCTGTAGGGAAAATGCTCAATGTACGTGGCATATGCTTAAGCCATTTACGGTCTGAATTGCTCACTAATGAAAGTAAGACTGAAAATGATCCCAAGAAGATTAAAATCATACAGGCTCTTGACCGCGCTATCTGTTGAATTCAGTGGACAGACGTAAAAATGTGCGAAACTAGGTCTATTTCTGACTACTAATCTCTTCAACATTTGAAAATAACAAGGACTGAAATCAAGGGAAAAGAGTAAAAAGAAATGGACTAGCACTTTTCAAAAATCGGCATAGTTACTATCTGGAAAACTTTCTGCTTCGAACCTGGGGGTCTTCGATTAATGCGTACTCCCTGTGCAAATGTATAGGTGCGAATGATCTTCTATATGCATGAAAGCTGTTCATACAGTAGGCTGAATGTATTACACGAAGAACCGGCCATCGTTGTACCCAAGGGTATTTGACTAAATTCCAGAAGACAATAAGCGGTCAGTGAAAAGACCCGCAAATCAATAGCGGGGCCAGATGAAGGAATTTTTTCGATCGACATGGATTAAAACTGCAGATGACAGAATTTTGTATCGAAATATCGGAGGCCTTCATCCGGCAATGGATTGAAGCAGGCTGTGATATGCCGCTGGACTTTTACCTTAAGAACTACCGATTTACCATATGGAAAGTCATCAGCCAGTGAGGTAGATGGAATAATTAGGTCGCAGAGTTCTGAGCACGCAGTGCAACGAAAAAACGCTAATTTGTATCTCTGTCATGTCATTTACCTGTAAATACTCCCTGTAGATACTGTCTTCAGAAGTAAGAATTCTTGGATATGATGTATCACAAATCAGCAGCGTACCCAAAGCTCCTGAATGGACATCCGTTTGTCGCGGAGGCGCGAGACATGTCTCTACAGTTGCAAACTTTTCTCGGCAAGATCGAAAATCTCGCTTCAGTGGACCATTCTTTCATGATTGTTCGACAGTCATTGTTTTAGTTTAAATTCAGGAATTGGGCTGCAGCTCAACAGTTATTTTGAGGCGTTAATTTTACGCTGATGGTAGTGACGATATAGTGTTTGATGACCA